AAAAAATAAATATATATCTCAATTCACACATCATAGCCACAACTGTTCATAAACTGAGAATTTAGAAAATAAGAAGATTAAAACCCTCATCACCCTCAAACTAGCAGTTTATGAGTCTCCATGCACAATTTTGCTATCTTTTTTTAAGCAGGAGGTTCATGCGAGCTCACTTGGCCAGAATCCATGTCATTACAGTTGGCTCTGCATACTAACCTTTCAAGCAAGGATATGCTAGAATAGTTTCAATATCTGGATTTTACAGGGGTTACCTTAAGTTTCCATTTGCTTGGGGAATGGCACATTCAGTCACTGGCCAGCAACAATAAATTTACTGTGCAGAGCCTCGAACAAGACATTAAATCTTCATTCTCAAAATTCACTCCCAGCATTAACAAATGATATGAATAAGCAGCTCTTTTCAGGCCTTGTAATGAAACCACAGGCCTGGTTTTATTAACCTCATTTAAGCTGTTTACATTTCCCAAGTAAATGACTCTGCCTCTCTTAAATCCGTAGTAATATTCCAGAGAAGGCTGATGGAAGGCTCTGATAAGGGGAGGTCGGGCCGCTACGGAACATTACTGCCCATTACCTTCAATTTACCAGTCTGCTTTTCAACATTTGAATTTTGTGCTGTAGATATAGATTACAATCGCTGATGTGGTCCACCTGGGCTGCAGGAATTAAACCCTATCCTGACAACATCCAGAAATAACAAATGTTCACTGCATTTCAAAACATTGCTTCATCCACTACAGAAAAAGTGGAAAGTAGCAGTTCGGTAAAGCATTGTGCACCGGTTAAAAAGTAAATTCTAAAATCCCAATCTTTTAAACTACAACTCTGGTTAACCCTTCTTATCATGTTTACACATATATGCAGCCTCACAGAAGTGGGTCTTCTTCCATGAGGCCACATATATGTGTACATGGCATGTGTTTGTACCGGGGTGCGTTGTACCATACTAAGACATTCACCCACTCCACTCACAGCTCCACCTGCGAGGAATGAGGAGACATGTAATCCCAGAAAACAAGAGGAAATTATATGATGAAGATGAACAGACCCAGACTCCAGGTATCCCAGTACAGCTTTTGACTTTACAGACCACTGATGGCATCACAAAATTACAGAGGTTATCATTTCTGCAGCTCACAAACTAAAATATTTAGTATGTGGCAACCATTCTCTGTTACAGGGTGACAACATTGTCCCTATGCTATTTTCCTGTGTTGTCAATCAATCACACTCTCTACCAAAGGAAGGTACAAGTGGCTGTACCACAAAACTGCAAAGATGTTCCACTGCTGATACCATCAGAAAACCTGTTTTGAGAAATCAAATGCAGCAGTTGCTGGGAGCGAGTGTATGTAAATAGGAAGTGCTTGTAAACAGGGTGGATTTGATTTAAATCATGATTTAAATCACTAGTCAGTAAGGCTTGATTTAAATCCTAGTTTTCTACATAAAGACTAATTCTTGCTGGTATAACTTTAATATGCAAGTAGATGAAGATTTTTAGAATAACTTTTCATATTAGTTTTTTTATCCCCAGTTTAATAGGTTTAATCATTCATATTTGGACAACTTTTCTGTTGTACTTAGGAAGGAGAAAAATAATCATTACCTTAATAATAACAATTTAAAATAAATTTATTCATCTGAAACAATAACATTCCAGCATATGTTATTTGCTTAAACATCCATGTTTGTTAACTAATTTGGCTAAACAAAATATATATATTTTAAGAAACTTAGACTGTCAGCCCCTTCCTCCTCACACTAGTTTCACTTTCTTCTTGTGCAGATCTATTCCACTCCAAACAATCAGAAAAATATTGTTTCTATTCTATTCACTGAACTTCTTGAAACTTAGCACTGAAGGGGTTGATTCTGTATTCATAGGTTTGTAGAAGTTAGGATTAAGGTCTTTTTCTTAACTCTGTTCATGTTATTACATTTTTGCTGTGAAGAAGAGGCATGTGATCTCCGCTGAGTCAAATTCAGTTTTGAGAACTGCAAAGTAAACCAAGCATCTGTGATAATATCTTGTAGGCAGAGAAACTGCCCAATAATCTTACAAAAACCTCTGGAAGAGCATGACATTGTGAATGGATTCATGGAATTTATTTACCAAAAAAATTAAACATATACAGCCTTATTCTATATAATTAAAAAAACTAATCTTTATTTCATGATGGAATAACCTTTGGATGGTAATATATTTTCCTCGAAAAGCATTTTATTTAAAAAAAATCCGATTTAAATAAAAAAAATCCAATTTTTAAAAATCATTGATTTTTATCCACCTTGCAACTGACTAAGACATCGGCGATACTACCAAACCTCTAGCCAACAAGATCTGCTTCTAGGACCCTGAGCAGGTAATCCGAATAATGCAATGCTGGGACATCACTGTCCATCGATTTACACTGATCAGCGATGGAGATGCCTTCCTGTCACCTGTGTCAAGACGTTATCAGCACACTGGAGGGGGGGTCCTCATTAGATGACACATAGTCAGCACTGCACACCCATGTCATGAGACAGAACATTTGCGAACATCTATGGGATAACTTTCATGTCCCCTGCACTTTGATCCTTCCATATCATCCTCTGACAATCCTGGCTCATTCAGTATCTTAAATAGGAACTCTGGGAAAACATTTTTTTTTTCCATGCAGTGGGGCTGCTTATTTTTGTCTTGGGGTTCACCCCAACCCCTTCCCCCCCACCCACCCATCTACCTACTCTTCCTAGGCAGTAGGTATCGGTAATTGGTATCGGTGAGTACTTACATATAAAAAAAAAAAAGTTAAAAAGTATCGGTACTAGTTGAAAAAATTTATATCAGTGCATCCCTTGCAGCAAAGAATGAAAAAATAGTGAACACAGTATTTTAATTAAAAAAAAAAAAAAAAAAAAAAAAAAAGGATACACAGTGCTTTAAGGAACCAAATTTCACCTTATTAGCCCTGGTACACAAAGTGCAACATGTCGTGCAACTGACAGTTTCAAATCGCATGACAAGTTGCACCCTATTGTCAGCAATGGAACCATTCAAAATGGAGTTGAGTTGAACCGATTTTGGAAATAGTTCCGGCACTATTTTCAGCAATTTTAGGCGCAACTTGAATTGACATCTGTGCATGAAGTTGCACAAATGTCAGGTATGCTGTATATGAAATAGCACTGGGTCCGTGACTTTAAAATCACACTACTTCAAGTAAAAGAGCATGATTTTAATGTTACTTTGGTGTGAAACAGGCTTAGTGCTTGCATGTAATATAAAGACTGCTTAACTGAAAAACTCTCAACACTTAACTGGTTTCATTGCCACAGTCACTGAGCAAAGAATGCAATATTCAGAACGCCAATTGAGGCTGCATTCATATACATAAAAATATAAAACATCAAACATAAATAAATAAAATGTATCCAATCTCCACAATCATGTCCATGTAAACATTACAATAACTCAAACATGTACTGGTTGAAAATACTCTATAGTAACGATTTAATTTGCACAGCAGATTTGTATTCTAATTCATGATGGTATGGCACACCTTAACATTCTATGAACTAGTGAGTTTGGCAGAGTACTGACAATATTATGGCCTGGTCTACTTATACCTCGATTAAAGAAAAGAAAAAAAAAAAAAAGGAATGATAAGACCAGCAGTACAGTTACTATGGCAAAGAACCTTCCAATGAATATTCATGGTCAGGTTGGTTGATGGCGATCTCACAGCCCAAAACAAAAAAATTATTGATCTGCTCACTCAGCATCTCTGCCAAACTCTCAGATCTTGACAGACACAAAAAAAAAAAAAAAAAAATTGTATGTTAACCAAATACACAAGAGGCAGTTGTGCAAGGGTGAACTTCATGGTCTAGAATCAGAAGATGAATAGGCAATTTTCCAGCCTGTGTGACAAGGCCAGGGAACTTCTGAAATCTCAGCTGGATGAGAGCTATAGTGTCAATGCACTGCGTGAAGCACTGGCACACTTGTCTGGTAACACTTGCTAGAAAACTGACTTAACAAAATGTGAAACAGTAGGAAAATCTGCATTCCTAATTTAAAGTGGTTGTAAAGGCTGAAGGGTTTTTTTCACCTTCATGCATTAAGGCAAAAACCTTCTGTGTGCAGCAGCTCCACCAGCCCCCTCAATACTTACTTGAGCCTCATGTGAATGGACTCATGTAGCAACAGGTGCCACGTAGCAAGCTGCTTGCCATGGGGGCACCTGACAGAAAGGAGCTAGGAGAGCCTGCGGGGGACCTGAGAAGAGGAGGATCCAGGCTTCTCTGTGCAACACCACTGCACACAGTAAGTATAGACATGTTTAATATTTAAAAAAAAAAAAAAAAAAATTTTAAATGAACCTTTAGAATTGCTTTATGCTCAGCCCTAAACAGCTAAATACTCAAGTAAAACACACCTAGATTTACAAGTCCTGAGAGAATAAATAGTTCACTCACCCAGTCTTGTGATTAAACACTCCAATGCCACACCACACAGGCAAGCAGAGGTCACTACTAAAGAGGACATTTGGATTTCATGACTCTGGGATGACCGGATTGCAGCAAATTTATTTTGATAATGATTACTCACACACACGAAAACTAATGCTATACAAAGCACCAAAGGCAACATCATAGACAACGTATACCTACCAACTCACAAACCACCATAAGCAAGTGTTAATCACAAAACTGTGCAAACATTTAAGTTAAAATATGTGTGTGGGGGGTGTATGATAAGCCAGCAGAATATAGAGCAATCTATACATATTGTTTTATTGCAAATGACAATTGGAAACGCAAATTTTATTTAGACTATTTCTTGGTATATTAGACTAGTCAAGGATCTAGCAGGTATGGCTACCTGGATCTCCTAAGAAGTCAATGACAGGTTGGGCTGGAATTCCCAGCTCTGGCCAGACACAAGGAAAACTCCACAGAAAACAAATAATGGACAATACAAGCTCACTTACCAACACTCTGAAAAAGTACAAGTACTCGGCTGCCCCAGAGTAGTTTCCGCACTCATACTGGAACTTTGCATATCTGTACAAGGTGTCCAAGTACTCCTGCCTAAACTGGAAGAAAATAAAAATGTTAGCCAAAGTGTGCACTAAACAATTACAGTAGACTCGAGGTCTACGATGAGCTGCAGAAAGCTAGCTTTTGAGCAAATCTTATATAAAGAAATAAAAGGCACTTCTAGAAAAAATTACTTCTATAAATCCAGAAAAATTCAGCAAGTTTAGAGAAAATTTCAAGGTTTTCTCTTTCCACTAAGATTCAGAACTGGGACCATCAAGTGTTTTGCCAGTTTAGAATTTCATCTAGACTGCCAAAAGTCTGAAGATACAGTCAGATACTGGCTTCTCAGCATACAGATAATACCAAAGACATCCCTGGATCTCTCCAGATGTGTACCATCATCTGGCAGGATACTAGGAATTCCTTCTTTTATAACAAGAAAAAAAAATAAGACTTCTTTAAAAGAGAACTATAGACAAAACTTGTTTTCCCATTTTGGATAGAGTAAGGGAGGGTTACAACCCCAGTCAGGTTTTTTTATGCTGTGTCCCACTGTGGAGGAGATTTCCCTTCAATTACTGTCCCATAGCCAAACAGGAAGAGGAAATCCCTGCAAAGATTTCCTTGAGGGCCCCCAGGTCACCAGAACTAGTTTCCCCATTGGAAGATTTCCCCTCTTACTTTTTTGGGGACAAACCAAAATTTGGGATTTCCTTTCACTTTCAATGGTAATGGAAACTAGAACAAATGTGAATGGTGACAAAGGGTGGATCTCCTTAACTACTCGCCTCCCGCCCTGTAGTAGAAGTACTGCTACATGGCGGCAGCCTGCACAAAATCACATATACATGATGTTTGGGGAAAGCCAACAGGGGAGAGACGTGTGTGTTAACAACACAAGTCTCTCTCCTGTCAGCAAGGACATGCTGTTTTTTATTTCTCTGCACAGCAGAGAAATACAAAGCAGCATATCTCCGTTGTAAAACAGCACACGTGAAAACACACACAGCACACAGTTAACCCTTTGATTACCCCACGTTAACCCCTTTCCTGCCCAGTGTCATTAGTACAGTGTCAGTGCTTTTTATTAGCACTGATCACTGTATTATTGTCACTGTGGATGTCAGTGGCAGTTAGTTCCCACTCAGTGTCAGAATGCCCGCCGCAGTCCAGCTACAAATCGCCGCCATTACGTGTGTGTGTGTATATAGATATATTTTATTTTATATATATATATATATATATATATATATATATATATATATATATATATATATATATATATATATATATCCATATCTATCTAATAATAATAATTTAAAGTTGTGATTTTTTTTTTTTTAGCAAAAAGATGTAGCACAATACATTTTGGCCAAAATTTATGAAGAAATTAGATTTTTAAATTTTTTTTTTATTGGATAGGTTTTATAGCAAAAAGTCAAAAATATTGTTAGAAAACCTACAATTTTAGGGGAAAAAAAAAAAAAAAAAAAACCTATATTTTTGCATGTTTGCTTTAAAACATATCTAGTAAACTTTTTTAAAAATTAACATTTCTTCATAAATTTAGGCCATAATGTATTCTGCTACATGTCCCTGCTAAAAAAAGAAAACCCAATAAGCGTAAATTAATTGGTGTACGTGACAGTTATATCGCGCGCACCCCCTAACCAGAGATGTAAAGTCACATATATACAGAGGTAGGGAAATTTAAAAAAAAAACTACTTGTCCAGGGGTCTAAATCGGGGCCCCAATTTACTTGTCCTTCATGACACTTACTTGTCCAGATGAAGAAGAAAAAAAAAAAAAAAAAAAACGACAAAGTCCCCTATGTGATGCTCCACTGGCGATTGCATTACAATCTCTCAACGGGGACCCGGAAGTGACATCATAACGTCACTTTTGGGTTAGCACAAGGGGAGGGGAGCAGACTTGTGCGCTCTTCTCCCTCCCCGCTAGCCGACAGCAAGCCGGCCCGCAGATGGGCAAGCGGAGCCCGGGAGACCTCACGCTGGGGAACGCAGAGAGGCTGGCACTGTGTGAAAGCAATCAGTGGCAGCGCTGCCGCCGATTGCTTCACCTGACAGGTGAGCCCTGCTGCTTGCCCGCAGCAGGGCTGACGGTAGAAGGAAACTACCTGGCTGGCGCCCGGAACTACATGTCTTGGGTGTCGGGTGATAGGAATCAAACATCCCTGATATATGTGATTTTGCGCATCCCAAACACCCTGTAGCAGAACTTCTGCTATAGGGCGGTCGGGAAGCGGTTATAATATATAATAGACAGCTTATTTCATTTTATATATAGGAATAGCCAGAACTGCCTCATACATACCCCATGTTTATCAGCAAGATGGTCAAACAGCATCCTTCCATCCCTGTAAAGAGAGAAAAAAAAAAAAAAAAAAAACTTGTGTTCAATAACTTTCCATTAGGTTTCCCTGTGTTGTCCCAATAACAGCCATTTGCCACAAGAACACTAAAAAGAACTATCACTAGTAACAAGGCTGCACAAGTCTGTTTCTAAGCATTAATCAGATGAACACATTTATAAAATTGACTGTTATTGCACACATTTCACAAGATAACATTGATACTTGAAGGAAAAGGTTTCCTTTGGTACCTGTGCTTGCCCTGTTACATTCAGCATCCTGCCAATGAGCTAGGCACACAAGTGGAGCATCAACTACAGTGATTAGCATGTAATGATTGAACTGATAGACGCATTGATCCAAGTGTGATTACATTCCCGATCACCTAATCTACATAGTGTAATACAGTAAAGCAGGCTGTCTATTTAACATGGGAGTGAGCTGCCACAGCACACCGTCCTGACCACTGGAGCAGCACACAGGCTTCTTTACATGCGAGTGAGCATTTAATAAAGTATTGCTGTTTTTATCCACCCTGATCTGACACCCTGCTGTTATTCCTTTGCAGGTTTTTTATTTTTCATTTAAAGCTCTCTTTCCTTTATTTTCACCTGGTGATCTAGCAGGAAGTCTGTTTTGCAACAGAACAAGCTGTAGTAGCAGTTACAGGGATAAGACCAACCATTTACCACTGAAATGGGTGCTTACAATGATCAGCTTTTATCCAAATCCTTTATCCCAAAAGGAAAAAAAAAAACAGTTGCTCTAACAGTTTATAAAGTACTAAATGGAGTTTGGTTTCAATTTGTTGTTGTATTTAAATCTGCTAGTACATCTAACACTCTCCTGCCCTGAGACTGATCATGCTGTGCTCCTTCATCCACAGTGGAAGCACTAATACAGGAGGTGTGTTATTGGTTAGATCACCAGGTGAAAACAGAGGAAAAGAGACTAAAAACTAGATTGTAAACTCTAACGGGCCGGGCCCTCGGTTTCCTCTTGTACCAAATTTTATTGTAACAGTTATGTCTACCTTCATTTTGTAAAGTGCGGAGCAAACTGTTGGCGCTATATAAATCCTGTATAATAATAAAAAAGAAAACCACATCTGATGATTAGTAAGTTGCAAGCGAGAGGAATTTGCTCCAAAATAAGAATTCCGCCCTTAGAAAGTAGTTACCTGAATACATTCCCCACCCCCCCAAAAAGAAGGGGGGGGGTTTCAACCCTGCTCTACTCTCTACAAAACTAAATAAGGTTTTGGCTATACATACACTTAGAGTTATCAATTCCTTAGGCCCCATTTGAAAATTTCTGTTGCATTGTGGTGCTATATTGTGAGCTTCCATAAGGCATCCCATACCAAATGACACCACAGCACAGATTTTAACGGAACTGCAACATTTTCTTTACCCCAGCATACCACAAACAGAAGGACTGCTGGCGAGGTACATTGGGAGTGTCATATTAAATGAACCGGAACACCTCACAATCCAATCCACTTTGGGCTTTTAAGGAAACCGTGTGCTACCACAATGTCCTAGATTGTAAGCTCGAAAGAGCAGGGCCCTCGATCCCCTCATGTTTTGCATTGTATTGGTATTGTTCTGTCACATGTTCTGTCCCCCTTTGTAATGTACAGCGCTGAGCGAACTATTGGCGCTTTATAAATACTGTATAATAATAATAATAATGTCCAGTTGTCTTTCACCCACCAATCACATCACAATGAGTCTTGCAGTCAGCCATCAAGAACCATGTTTTCTGACAAGCTGCTAAGATGGAAACACAAACCCACTGTATACTGGCCATCCACATGCCTTCTTGTTGGTTATGTCCACTCTATGCCTGACCTATTCACAGCGGTCTGCTATACCATCCAGTGTCCTGGGACAGATCCAACTTCTAAAAGCACCACCACTGTGATCAAACAGGGGAAGGAGGCTAAAAAGGAAACAACTGAGAAGTCTGACACATACTTAGGATCAAACAGTTGAAGTTGTCTGCAAAAAACAGCCTGCAGTCCTCAACCTCCGAACAAGCAGCTTATGGGAAAGCAATCGCTCATCCAGACCAATGTAAAGCAGGTCTTCAGTCTCCATACAGTGGCAGTTGAGAGCAGTGTAGTGGGATATACCGACATACACAGAGAAATTCTGAAACAGGAATTTATCAATAAAGGTACAACATTATTCCAGTTTTCAGAGGCTGCAGGAGCATTTCATTGTCAGAATTCATAGCAAAAATGAAGTTAAAAGTAGTATTAAACTGACAGATTTCAACATTAATACATTCTGACAAGCCCAGTTGAAAGATTTTTACACATAATTGTGCCCAAGCTCTCACAGTTTTTATGCAACAAAGCTGCTGTGTGATGCTCTTTCAGTGCTGCTTCCCTGGACTTCTAGTTGGGGGAGCACACACTGACTATATCACATGGGGCTGGTCACTATGTACAGAACAGTGTCTGACTGCTGTCCATCAACTTGCTTGGGAATGGGAGGAGGGGCATGGCTTTCCAACCTAGGCTTCAGGTCTGCTTGGTTTACTCACAGTGTAGAGACAGTGGGCTGGAAGAGTTCATACAAAGGTGGCCGCACAGAAGCCTGCAAGACAATGGATCTACCCTAACACAGGAAACCTGTGGCAGTGATCTACGGACCTCCTCAATTAAGATACAGGCATACCTCGGTTTACAAACACGTCGGTTAACGTAATTTTCGGTTTAGGAATAATGCCTCAGTTCACAATTTTTTTTTTTCGCAATACGAATGGATTAATTGGTTTTCAATGCATTTACAAATTATTTTTAATCCTGTCCCTGTACAGTACTATGCCTTTAAAGTGCACTTTATAAAGAGTTTTGAACAGATAAGACTTTTTTTTACTTTTTTCTGACCTCCGGAACGGATTAATAGGTTTTCAATACATTTACAAATTAATTTTTAATAATTTCTCTGTACAATATTTATGCCTTTAAAGTGCACTTTATAAAACGTTTTGAACAAAAGACTTTTTTTTGTTTACTTTTTTCTGACCTCTGGAATAGATTGTTTTTCAATGCATTTACAAATTTATTTTTAATCATGTCCCTTCATGCCTTTAAAGTGCACTATAGAAAGTGTTTTGAACAGATAATACTGACTTGTCTGACCTCCAGAATGGATTAATTGGTTTTCAATGCATTTGCAAAGTAATTTTTAATCATGTCCCTGTACAGTATTTATGCCTTTAAAGCGCACTTTATAAAAAGTTTTGAACAGATGAAACTTTTTTTTTCTTCACTTTTTTCTGATATACGGAACGGATTCATTGGTTTTCAATACATTCCTGTACGAAAACTCATTTCGGTTTACAAATTTTTTGCAATACGAAAGGTCTCACAGAACGGATTAAATTAGTAAACGGAGGTACGCCTGTATATAACATTTTAAAGAAGATGAAGCAGCAGACAAGCTAAGTGCTAATGTCAGCTAGTGTGTTTGTTAATAAAAATGTTGTACCGTATTTGCCGGCGTATAAGACGACCTCCCTACTTTTCCTGCTAAAATGTAGTGTTTGGGCTATACTCGCCGTATAAGACTACCCCTCTTCCAATGCACACCAGTGGGAGGAATAGTGCCCCATCATTGATGTCAGTGGGAGGAATAGTGCCCCATCATTAGTATCAGTGGAGGAATAGTGCCCCATCATTAGTATCAGTGGAGGAATAGTGCCCCATCATTGGTATCAGTGGCAGGAATAGTGCCCCATCATTGGTATCAGTGGGGGGAATAGGTGCCCCATCATTGGTATCAGTGGCAGGAATGGTGCCCCATCATTGGTATCAGTGGCAGGAATAGTGCCCCATCATTGGTATCAGTGGGGGGAATAGGTGCCCCATCATTGGTATCAGTGGCAGGAATGGTGCCCCATCATTGGTATCAGTGGCAGGAATAGTGCCCCATCATTAGTGTCAGTGGCAGGAATAGTGCCCCATCATTGGTGTCAGTGGCAGGAATAGTGCCCCATCATTTGTGTCAGTGGCAGGAATAGTGCCCCATCATTGATATCAGTGGGAGGAATGGTGTCCCATCATTGGTGTCAGTGAGGGGTGGAATAGTGCCCCATCATTGGTGTCAGTGGGGGGTGGAATAGTGCCCCATCATTGGTGTCAGTGGGGGGTGGAATAGTGCCCCATCATTGGTGTCAGTGGGGGGTGGAATAGTGCCCCATCATTGGTGTCAGTGGGGGGTGGAATAGTGCCCCATCATTGGTGTCAGTGGGGGGGGTGGAATAGTGCCCCATCATTGGTGTCAGTGGGGGGTGGAATAGTGCCCCATCATTGGTGTCAGTGGGGGGTGGAATAGTGCCCCATCATTGGTGTCAGTGGGGGGTGGAATAGTGCCCCATCATTGGTGTCAGTGGGGGGTGGAATAGTGCCCCATCATTGGTGTCAGTGGGGGGGGAATAGTGCCCCATCATTGGTGTCAGTGGGGGGGAGGAATAGTGCCCCATCGTTGGTGTCAGTGGGAGGAATAGTGCCCCATCATTGGTATCAGTGACACCAATGATGGGGCACTATTCCTCCCACTGAGACTTGCTGACCCTGTTCTCGTATGGTGCTGCTGCAGCCAGCATATGTGGTTGCAGCAGCACCTCTACACAGAACACTTACCTGCTGCTCCGGCACTCAATTTTCGCGGGGCCGCTCGGCTCCGCCCCCTCGCCGGTGATTGGCCGCCTGTGTGCCTTTCCTGAGCTACAGTTCTGGCGGCCAATCACCGGTGAGGAGGCGGAGCTGAGCAGCCGCACGAACATCCAGTGGCCGAACTGAAGGAGATGCCGCGCTTCCTGGACCGGATCGTCGTGGGACTGGATCCAGGTAAGAGACATCAGCCCCTGCAAACCTCTGTACTTAATGCCGCAGCCCCCCTAAACATGTGTACCGGCGTATAAGACGACCCCCGACTTTTGAGAAGATTTTCAAGGGTCAAAAAGTCGTCTTATACGCCGGCAAATACGGTATTTAATAACACAAAGTGCAATTCCAGTCATATCATAACTAAGCCTATGTTGACTCCCACCCCCATTCTAAGACTATTCTATCTACCCTGTAAAAGAAAAGATGCCTATATATTTATCTATTCGGAAGCTGCTCCAGTCTAGGTGCCAGCTTCAGTGTAGAGGAGAGGCAGTGACAATGGCTACAGAGCCTTGACCACCCATATGGGGCAGCCATTGTCGGTTGTCCCTCCTCTACACTGAATCAGTACTGGGACCCAATCTTGTGACCTGGATCGGAGCTGCTTCACAATAGGTAAGCATAGGCGAGTTTCCTTTTACAGGGTAGATAGAATAGGCTTGGAACGGGGGTGGAGTAGATTTGGGCTTGGTTAGGGTTTGACTGGAATGCCACTATAACCTCAAAAATTAGTGAACCACTTTAATGTCTAGCAAGAAGCTTTAATTTGTTCCAACAGTGACTGGCCTGTACCCTCAACTACAGAATGACCTCTCCTTTCTCAGAATCAAGAACACTGAGCCAAATATGAATTCTTCTCACTACGTACTTTTGGGATTTTACGCCATCTCTAATTGGCTTTGCTGTGCGCTAAAAGCCTGCAATCTCATTAGCAAACTTTACAAGCTAAAGCCAGCAACTGCAATGGCTTTCAAGAAGCTTTAGATGCCTAGAAGCAGGGAGGGATGACTTGCATTATATAAAACTTTGCCCTTCCAGGACTTAAAAAGTGACACCACTTAAGGTCAGTAAAATCACTTTTTACAGTCAGCAAGCTAATGTTCAGTAATATAACCTGTGTAACATAACATCTGATGATAAAACTGTATTATATACTCCAAATGTTTCACATATTACCAAGTCCTGCTACAAATAGTAACTTTAAGGCCTCATACACCTTGGCTGCGTGCGTCAAATCCCCGTGTTCTTGGACCCCCAGGAGGCCCAGGTGCAGTGTCCAGTCCTGGTGCCAACAAACTGTCAATATCAATGGCAGGCTGAAAAACGAAGCGGCTAGACACTGTACTGAGTGGTATTAGGGACGTACGCCTGGAATACAGCGAGAGGATATTTGATCCATTCACCTGCTACTGATTGACAGCTTAGCCCATCATTGAGTCTTCAAGCAGAAGCACTTCCAAGCATAACAATGAATGATACATCACGAACATGCAAGTACTCATGGGACATTAATGCAGGACATAAGACAAGTCGAACATCGGACGATTTTTCAAATGATAAACGAAAAATCGGTCGTTCGTTAGGCCGACGTTACCACCAACGGTTTAAAAAAAATTGGCCGACTAAATCATAAAGTTCACCCTATAACTTCTGTCCCTTGCAGGTCACTGCTCATGCGCCGATTTTTTATCATTAAAACGATCGGCCGATTTGCCCATCATTGCCGGGAAAATCGTCCGATCGTCCAAATAGGCCACAAATTTTCCAACATGACCGAAAATCTCGCAAAGTGCAAAAAACCCAAAAAACGGCCGACCAATTAATCCACTAACGGTGCGAAAATCGGTCGATTTTTTTTTCGGACAAAAAATCGTCCGATTTTCGAACCGTCTATGGCCGGCAGTCCCAACATCAGTAAATTACAGAGAGTTTGTGTGCATATGCCCTGACCAGACGTTGTGGGGAGCAATTCACTTGATAGTCAAGGTGAGGGGCTATTATATAAAACAACAAATGTTTTACCTTTTTTTTAAAGAAAAAAAGGCAAATAAATAAACCATGCAAACTTTTAAATTTGAGGGTTTATTACTATAAGTACATTACATAAAAACACCTGATCTACGGCCATTCCCCATCTGCAAACAAATGAAGTTTATGTAGTTCTTCCGCTTTAACCCTGCTTGTGAATATCTATTAATACGTAAAACCAGCGACTAGGCAAAGATTAGACAGTCAACGCAAGCCAACAGAGCCACCAATTACGTTGTGGGGTTATAGATCTGTAATCCCGTCATTAAGGGACTTTTCAAAGGCACTTCCTGTTATAGTGTGACAACACTTTGTCCCAATCTCCTCTCCTGCAATGTCACATGCACTCTCAAATGGCCATGCAGACCTCTATTGTGCAGGCACATTCCACCACTACCAGGAAATCACTCGGAGCAATGACATGAACACATGCATGTAATCAGAAGTGGTTGCAAAAGATGCTGCAAGAGATCAGCACAAGTGAGATGTAAAAAAGGTTATAGTATAACTAAAAGGCAAAAGGTTTATTTTAGGTTTTGGACAGAGTGGAAATGGATTAGAACCCCTGTCTGTTTTTTATTGCCGTCTGTGCCCCCATTAACCACTTGAGCTCCAGAGGATTTACCCCCCTTAATGACCAGGCCTCTTTTTGCTACTCGGCGCTGCACTAATTCAACTGATAATTGCGCGGTCATGCAATGCTGCACCCAAACAAAATTTACGTCCTTTTTTTCACACAAATAGAGCTTTCTTTTGGTGGTATTTGATCATCTGTGCGCTTTTTATTTTTCACGCTATAAACAAAAAAAGGCCCAAAAATTTTGAAGAAAAAATATATTTTTTACTTTGAGCTATAAAAAATATATAGTAAACTCAAAGTTGGTTATAAATTTAGGCCAAAATGTATTCTGCTACATGTTTTTGGTAAAAAAAATCCCAATAAGTGTATATTGATTGCTTTGTGTGTGAAGTTATAGCGTCTACAAACTATGGTATAAATACTGCAATTTACGCCATTTTTTTTCTGCTATACAGCGCTGCGCTAGTTTAACGGACAATTGTGCGGTCATGCAATACGGTACATAAATGAAATTTACATCCTTTTTTTTCCCCACAAATTGAGCTTTCTTTTGGTGGTATTTGATCACCTGTGCGGTTTTTATTTTTTGCGCTATAAAAAAAAAGGCTGACAATTTCGAGGAAAAAAAAAAACAATATTTTGGACTTTTTGCTATAAAACATGTCCAGTAAAAAAAAATGCAAAAATCAAATTTAGTCATAAATTTCTGCCAAAATGCATTCTGCGACATGTCTTTGCTAAAAAAAAAAAAAACCACACAATACGTGTAAGTTAATTGGTTTACGTGAAAGTTATAGCGTTTACAAATGGCGGAAAAGATACTGGGATGTTTAGGTTTTTTTTTATACGAATAATGGCGGCGATCAGCGAATTATGGCAGCGATCAGTGACTTATGGCTGCGACTTATGGCGGGACTGCGGCGGACATTCTGACATTGGGGGGTACTGACTTGGGGTCACTGACATCCCCAAAAACACTAATACAGTGACCAGTGCAAAAAAAAACAAAACAAAACACTGACACTGTACAAATGGCACTGGGGAGGAAGGGGTTAACTTTATTCTGCAGGGAAGGGTTATCTGAGTGAGGGGAGTGTTTTTACTAGGGGGCGGGGTGTGTGCTGCACGGGACACTGCTGATCAAGAGAGAGAAACTCTTCTCTCGATCAGCTCGTCCTCGAGCTGTCAGGGAAGTGACAGACAGCACAGCTACTGCAGCTGTGCTGTCTGTCACTGTTTGCCGCCGATCGCCGGGAAACAGCCGGCTGTGACCCGGCGACTGACGTCCGCGACGGTGATCGGCGGGACAGATAGGGCGGCGGCGTGCCTCGCGCGCGCCCCCTGTTTACAAAACACACGTTTTAAAACGTGGTTTTACTTGCTCGTGCCACCCTGCCGCCGTATTTCTAGTGGCAGGGCGGCAAGTGGTTAAAGAGATTTATCCTATTTACCATTATTAGTGAAAGTAAAAGAAAAATCCCAAATTTTGGGTTGTCTCCAAAAAAGTAATAGGAGGGGAAATTTTCCAATGGTTACACGAGTTCTAGTCACCAGTGGGTCCCCAAGGAATTCTCTTAGTTTTGAGGGATTTTCTCTAACTTTCTGTTTGGCTATGGGAAAAGAAAGTGGAGGGAAATCTCTGCAATGGAACACAGATGGCAAAAAAAAAAAAAAAATTGATAAGTGTAATAACCCTCCCTTACTTTATCCAAAATGAAAAGAAAAAAAAAAAGTTTTGCCAATAACTATGTAAAAAACAAAAAGGTGAAATCAATTTTCTAAAAGAAACAGCTGTTCACTTCCTGGAGGGGTCCTTTTTCCAGCTGTCCACATGCGTGTGTGATGTGGCGAAAACCCAGTGGCCAACCAGTGGAGGGATCAGGTTAGAATCCTGTAGATGGATGATGTCAGATCCATGAGAGTAAAGGGGATATGTTGGCAAGGATGTTGGCTGGATTAGGCCCGAAGCTTCAAGATATTGATGGGAAGTATTGTCTACTGTGGAGACCAAGTCCTCTGTACGTAGCCACCTCCAAACCAGCCACCCAACCAAAGAGACTGGCATCAATAGTTCCTATCTTCCAAAAGCCTGGAAGGAAAGTTACCCCTTCTCCAGATTCTGAATCACCAACCACCAATTCGGATTCTTCAATACCCTGGGAACAAACCCTCAAGCAATTCAATGATTGGTTCAGAATGTTCCTCTGGAGTGGAACTGTACGTAGGAAACCGCCTCAACGTAGATACCATTTCCTCATGCAAGCTCGTAGTAAAGGATACTTTTTTCTTTTGAACAAACGAAACCAGCGCAAATCTTCATGCTGACTGGGAGTACTGCAACTGTCATTCATTGAGGTGCAGCCCTTAGAAGATCGGGAAATCTTGATACTGGTGAACAAAAACAGAACAGGGCACACACTCTCTTCATGCATT